TACAACTGCCAGTAGGTGATGAATTGTGGTAATTGTATCCTGAGGTTGCAAACAGTGAAAATTAAACAGCAATTCAATCACTGCAGATTGCAGGTCTGAGCTTAGGTTTCTAGTATGTGACCCTGCTTTTCTCCGCTACACTTTCTGCACTCATATTGGTATTGCTGTATTGTTTTGTTGCTCAAATCTTTGGCTAGTAAGTAACTACCCTAGCAACCACATAGGGACACACTGGCAATAAGCCGCACCATTCTAGCATTGCAGCAGCAATTATAAAAAAAATCTCTCTTTTTTGTATATTGATCTCTATTTTTATATCTTGTCAGCTCTTCAATATTCTCTGTCTGCATCTCCTTATTGTCCCTTTCTTTCTTCCATTCTCTTTTCTGTCTGCTCCTCTTATATTATCTCAATTATTCTTTGTATTTACTCGTTTGACATTTTCTCTCATTCTGTTTCTCTCATCCTCTCGTTCTCTCTTTCTTTCTCTGGATCAGAGTGCATGCGTTAATTAAACACTCTTTCAGATCATTCGCTGTCTAAAGTGGCTCCAGAGGCAGAAGCCATTAGGTAGAAAGCCCAGCTATCTGCATCTCCCACATTTATTAAAGTGAAATTCATCCTGTAATTACCCGCCTCTGCGTTGCCCCACGTTTGCCACTCACCTCCACCATCAACACCTGCCCAACGCGACACCTTGTGCTATTTCCCATAATGCCACAGGGCCAATTAGACCTTGCAGACCCCACAAGCTGCTGAGAGCTGGCTAATTATGTTAATACAAAAAAAATCATTCCACTGATAAAGGATCATTATGTAAAAATAACAGCTAATGAAACATTACCTTTGATTTTATGTGGATTAAAACAGTTGGAGGCACAATGGAGTACTGATATAAATCAGAATATGTTGAGAGTACTGGTACTTGGCGAGGAAGGATTTCTTTCCCATTTCTTCAGAATTTCAAGAGGGGATTGATGCTTTTTCACTTGAGCTGTGGAAAAGAGTTTTGGTTGATGAGAGAGACAACGATGTACTTTCCATTTACATCAGTGGCTCTCAACCTTTTTGACTCCAAGGCCTGTCTTTGTCCAAGAAAATATTCGAAGACCCTCCTATCTAAACTGATATATATCTCTGGTATTAATATGGTATTATATAAACAAACTCAAAATATATGATATAATTTTTAAAGCATTTTCATTAATATTAGAATTTAAATAATTTTAAGACATATTTTGGCCCCCCTGGAGGTTTGCTGAGGCCCTCTATAGGGGCCCCTGGTTGCAATCACTTGTTTACATTATACAAAACAGTTGTTCTAAACATATAATTTTGACAATATTTGACAAATCACTAAACTCTCTGAGATTAATACCATTAAAGGAATAGTTCACCAAAAAAAATGAAAATTAGTTGAACATTTGCTGTGTGTTTGTAAGAAAAAAATTCATCATTAAGGCATTTTACATTTAAACTGTCGATTCTGGACCCAAATATACATAATAACACTTCTTCCAGTGAAAAAAGTACAGTTTGGACTGTTTTCTCATAAAATGATCTGTGCATATTTTTCTCCTTATTCAGACGAGACAAGATTTTCACTGGAGAAAGTAATATTATGGATAGAGGCAACATTTTAGAGTAAAAAATAAATAAATCAGTTTTTCACTTCACAGGACCTTAATTAATGGACTGGAGTGGTGTGGATTACTTGTGGATTATTGTAATGTTTTTATCAGCTGTTTGGACTCTCATTCCGACGGCACCCATTCACTGCAGAGGAGCCATTGGTGAGCAAGTGATGCTTAAAATCTGTTCCGGTGAAGAGACAAACTCATCTGCATCTTGGATGGCCTGAGGGTGAGTACATTTTTTAGCAAAAAAAAAAACTACTGCTTTAACAGGATAGCATTCACCTTGTAAATGAAAATTCTGTCCTAAAACTTCACTTTCACCTATATGCATTGTTTTTCTAATGTAGAACACATAGGCCTATTTTTTGTACATACAATGAAAAGAATGATGTATAAGGTCCAGTAAGTCACACCGGTTCGTGGTTTGCAACAACATGAATGTCAATAAATTACTTTTGTCAATTTATGGATGAACCATCCATTTAGGTTACTGGTATTTTACAATTTTGAATTAAAATGAGGGAATAACTACATTTATACATTTTCAAAAGAGAAGGTAAATGGTGTTTAAAAAACTTGCTGTGGTGCTAGGGTGTGGTGCGCATAAAGTGGTTTTTAGTGTTTTTGCTCTGTGTTTTCTCCAGGTGCCTTTGTAAAGTGCAGAGCATATTACAAACATACATTTGTGTCTACACTATATTAGCAGTTGAGAAAACTGAAAACAGGACTTCAGTTCTTTTTGAGCATACATAATTTGTTGGGAAAAAAGCAAACAAACAAAATAAACATTTTCTAATCTCAGAAACGATAATGTTTTACTTGTTGATCCGAATCCAATATTATATTTTAAGTTAAGCTAATCATTCCTTCAAGTGAACAAATTATTCAAGTGCATTATCAGTGTTAAAATTGTTTTATGTAATGTCGTCTTTTTTTTTTTGTTTGTTTTTTTTAGAAAAGTTCATAGTTCAATCAACATTTAAAATAGTTTGTCTGAAAAAATACAAATGTTTACAGTGTATTATTTGTTCAAATCGCTAACCGTAAAAACTCTGTAGTTCTCCAGAGGAATATTCTATCCTAGCCTGACAAAATCTCTTTAGACATGTCACTCAAAATACTGTTAATAATCTAACAAAGATGTGCTGCATGAGCAACAAACAAAGACTCATACAACCCAAAAACAGAGAGCTGCTGAAAAGAAGGCAATGTTTAGGATAGTATAAGATTTCCTTTCGACAAGATACTGTGCAACTTCTGTATGGTAACATCCTTTTTGTTTGAAAGGTGTGCCACTATGCAGGGTGCCTGTTAGAAGAACTGGTATCCTTGCGCTAATTAGCAAACTAGGAAGCTCCTAAGGCTGCTTCATGAATGCTCTTTCTGCAAGCGCATCTTTCTCTAGGTGCAGTCAAGCGTGTACAATTATCCACCTGCTGCTCGCAGGCGGCACATTTTTTTTGTCAACCATCTCCTTTGCAACAAAGTTCTTTCTCCAAACTTTTGTGGTTCATGCCCTCACAGCTTCCTTAGTCTAAGGTCCCATTTGCTGAATAGACTGGAGGTTCATCATTATGCACTTTAGCTCTGTAATAAAGGGCAGCATTGTTAAATTCGGTCTCATTGCGGTAGGCATCTAACTTTTAAAATTACTCCTATATTTAACAGGTTAAAGAAGAAAATTACACCATTACTATGTACTTAAATAGACTCAAACGTTACCGAATTAATGGAACAATGTAATTATATAAAAAAACTACATTTTTTAATACTTGCAAGAAGTAAGTGTGTGTTTTTTTACACACAGTTACACATCCAATCATCCAACCCCCACAAAATAAAAAGAATAGTCCTATTCTACTGTTCTCTTTTAAATTTAGGCTCTTTTTCATTCAGACTCTTTCTTCGCCTTTCTCTCTATTCCTGCCTGCTCTTTGAAACTCAAACCTTGTTGATGGAAACATAACAAGCGCCTCCGCTATGGCCTATGACCTCAGCCTCTTTGCACTTCCTGTGCCCAGCTCTCTGATGGGAGGGATCTGTCGGTGCACCTGCAGTTGGGCAGGTGACAGAGGAATTCTGGGAGAAATGGAGCCTTAGAAACACAGCAGCTTCTCTCTGACACGAAGGTTAAAGCCATTGAGAACAGCAAAGATTAGAGGCTCTTTGTACCCATCAGCGTTAAACAAATTAATCTATTGCTGCTCAGCTGACTGTAAAATCTCTAGATTTACTGTTTCAATGCAGCTAAGGCCTAAGCCACAGGGTCAACCCATGCTGCCTTTCCCACAATGTCTAAAACACATATTAGCCTTTACAAAGTTTTTGTCTGCTTTTTAGGAGTAAGTATATAAAAAGAGCTGTATGTGGGTATTAGGGGAGATTCATTTTCAAAAAATAAATCAATAAATAAAATCAATAAATCAAGATAAAATAAATGTAAAAAAATAAAACAAATAAATTGCAAACAGACAAAAATAATAATTACAATAAATACAATAAAATAATTAATAATAACAATACAAACATGGATCAGAAACACGATATTGTTCCATTTGGCATAATTTTAAAATGTGCTGTTTTGCTAGAATAGAATAAAACTGGCACAAAATATAAAAAAGTTACGTTTATTATAAAGTTGATTATGCCGTAGTTTATTATTTTATTATTTGATTTATTTCAGTCAATGGAGGCTTGGAAAAAGTGTCAAGAGAGCAGTATAAAGGTATAAAGAGGACCAATGAGCGTTGTGGCCCGGGTCAAATTGTGTCAACTCGAGTTAAGCACAGACGAGCGCACTGAAACTGACCTACGTGAGCTCAATCTTTTTACGCAATGATATGCTATTCAGAGCTCTTTACTTACTAAAATGCATCCCTAAATTAAAATGAACTAGGCTATTTATTATTGTTGTTGTTGTTGTACAAACTTCTAATAAAATGCGCAAAATAATAGTGAATCCTCTAAACAAACAAATCTAGTATTTTATAAACTAGCCTATTTTAAAACAAATTTTTCCTGCTAGAAAAAAATGTAATTCTTTTCTCACGCTGCTTGTTATATATTCAAAAGGGACCGAGAAATACCCCTTTCTATTAAGCAATGTTGTACTTCTTTACAAAAGACATAATTACATAACATTTTAAATGACACAGTAGCGGCGCGTAAAAGTATTTTATAATGTGTAGAGAAACAAAAAGGCAGGAAATATTTATTAGGTTTTTTTTAAGAAACTGGACAAGAGAATAAAGGGAATTTAGTACAGAGGGTGGCAGTAATGCAACACTATGGATGCCAACTGCCGTAAAACGCCAATGAAGAAGAAGAAGAAGAAGAAGAAGAAGAAGAAGAAGAAGAAGAAGAAGAAGCGGCGCGTTGGCGTGACGTCACATGTGTGCGCCAAGATTCGTTTGTCAGTCAGAGAAGTCACTTGCTTTAACGTTTCTAGTTTTATTAATTCATTCCGAGGGCAAATTTTGTGTTTATGACCCAGATTATTTGTCTTGAAATTACCTGACTGATATCATTTTTTTCGTCCTTGACGTCGGTTCCGTACGACTCTAGTGTAAGTAGCTTCGGTCAGTTTGGTGTTTGTTAGTTAAAATCTGAAGGACCATATTCTATCAAAAACTTTAATAATGGAGTAAATGGTTTTGAGTAAGTATTTTATGCTTTGTATGTGGTGTATTTTAAAAAAAGTGTCTGTTTGGTTTCACCAATTGTGTGCACATTTCATTTGTTCGCATTACCGGCCAAAAGCTTGGAATGATTAAGGTTTTTTAAACGTTTTTGAAAGAAGTTTCTTATGTTCATAAAGTCTGCATTCTCAATTGTAATATATTCTTAATAAATGTAATTTATTCCTGTAATGTAAAGCATCATGTGATACTGAAGACTGGAGTAAATTCAGCTTTGCATCACAATAATAAATTACATTTAAAAATATATTCAAATAGAAAACAGTAGCCTAATATTTCACAACCTTGTTGACCAGAAGAGACTTATTTCAAGAACGTTAACAAAAAAATCTTAATTATTTTAAACTTTTGTTTTGATTAGTAGTGTATACTCGCATTATAATCTGGGGTGGACTCAAAAATGACAGACACTTCTTTGTAATGTTCACGACACTCTCTTCTAGGATGTCTCTAGGATTCCTGAGGTTTGTTTTGAGTCAGACACTAAGCCCCAGTCCTCTTCGACCCATCAGCCGGGTCATCTCACGCCTGGCAAGGAACCCATCAACCCTCAGGCCAGCATGTTCTTGCCATATTGTCTCGCCCTGGCTATGTACGTACTTCTCCACAGACACTGAGAGCGGGAGCACCAGTGTGACAGATTTCCAGAAGGAAACGAAAAAGCTGGACCCAAGAGCACGAGTCACTTTTGGCAGCGTGGGTAGGAAGATTGGTCAGCGCCATATACAGTTATTGGGTGAGGATGGAGAGGAATTGGGTACAATGCACCGTGCTGATGTAATACGACTGATGGACGAAACAGGGCTGAGGCTTGTTGCCATAAATGACGATTGTGATCCTCCATTATACAGACTGATGAAAGGGAAACAGATCCACGAAGAGCAGATGAAACTTAGAGACAAAAAGAAAGCCAAAAAAGGTGCGTTTCAGTCCAAAAAAAAAAAAAAAAAAGCTGAATATATGATCAAAGCTGCAATATTGCAGTCATACTACAGTGAGAATCAGACTCAAATATCCAACAGTTCTCCAGTATATTTTTAAAATATACTACTTTAAGTGATAGTTGACCCAAAAATGTACATTCTGACATTATTTACTACAAGTCATTTTAAATTTTTGGGTTAGCTATTTTGTGTTGAAAGTGTATGATTTCTGTTTCTGTAGCTCCTTATTGTGCTTCATCGAAGAAACTTTTTGTTGCATCTGCAGGGCCTGTCCAATCAAAGGAGCTAATTTTTTCCTCCGATATCTCCCTTCATGACTTGGACACTAAACTGCGGCAAGTTGTCAGCTGGCTGGAAAAAAACAACCACGTCAGACTCACCATCAGAGGCTTCAGAGCAGGAACTGACGGTGGCACACCACTGGTATGGAAACAGAATATGCATTTGTTTAGTAATTCAGTGGATTTTTCAATTGCACATCAGCCGTCTATGTTTGTGTTGTTTAAAGTGAATAGTGTTTCACTGTGCACAAAGAAAGCTTTGAGTTGAAGGAATGTCCCAGAATCAAAACAAGATTAATGACAAATATTTTGTCTCCGAGACTGAATATAGTAATAACTTGTCTACCAGAGAAACTAACCAATGAAGAACAGTGTGAGCAATTTATAAGAGCCCACAGCAATGGCCAGTTTTGGCAGTTTACTCCACCACAGAAGAACAGAGAATGTTAAGATTCTGGAAAGTGACTTTCTGCCTTCTATGCTTTGTATTACCAGCCAATATATGCAGCTCTTAATTTCATAGCATTTATATACATCTTCCATACAAAAAAATGTGGGCTATCTGAGCTGTAAGGTTGTGTAAGTCATCCTTTTAATTTAATTTATGCATTTAGCAGACGCTTTTATCCAAAGCGACTTACAGTGCATTCAGGTTATACATTTTTTACCAGTACATGTTCCCTGGGAATCGAACCCACGACCTTTTGCGCTGCTAACGCAATGCTCTACCACTGACCCACACTATATTGAGTACTTAGAGAATCATTGTAGAATTACATTGTAATTGCATTATTATTCTTTTTTTTGCTCTTAACATGTCATAGATGCTCTCGATAGAACTCAACTTATATTGTCCCTGAAACATTCCTTGAAAAGTAGGGTGCAATCAATCCTTAAATACTGGAAATATTAAAGGTCCCATATTGTCAAAACTGTAATTTGCTGGCTTTTTTCCATGATAACTGAGGTCTAGGGGCTATTTACCTACCATATAAGTTTCAAAACAGTCAGTCCACAGTAAAATGCACACAGCCTGCATAAAGTAGCTGTGATTTTTCACGAACTGTTGTGACTTCCGTAAAAAGTTGACGTCAGAACTACAGTCACCACCCGAGCATCGCCCACCGTCCCACTCTCCTTTTGCCAAACCCCCAGACAGCATCGCATCCATGCTATTGCTGAGCAACAACACAGAAACATGTCGAAAAGGTTAACTTTAACCACGAAACCAGATCGGCCGACCTGTAACGTTACACTCTCACTCAAAGGATGGACGATCTGACAGGATTGTTACTATGAGGTGGATCACATCTAACATGTATAGTAACAACAATGTATATACAATTACAAATGAATATATATAAATCGTCAGTTTGTTGTTTTGCACAGACATTATTTCATACACGACATAGTTGTGAGATGCAAGAAACAGACATATGGCAAGAAATCTGTAGATGCGCCCATAACAACAAAAGACAATACTTTATTGAACCTTTTCTGATAAGAAGTGTGCGCTGCAAACGCGAGCATTTTTGACGATCGTTTCTGTCCAGTCTGCTCATTTTATCGTGTTTTAACCACAGCTGTCGTCGTTTTTTTGTCTGGCAGTGGCAGCAGATATGTGATCAAATTTCTAATTTGAGGCTGTACGTCGATTCAGGCACCCAACATCACAACAAGATGATATTTTAAGCTCATGTAGCCGAATCTGCGCTGGTTTGAATGGGCCGCCTCCAGTTTCCTCTTTGTTTTGCTGCCTCCAGCTAGCGCTGTGACGTCGCTGACCCTAGTTACCTGTGGTTGGCCTGGCTGTGCGTCACTCAGAAAACAACAGGCCAATCAGAAGAGGCTGATGAATATTAATTAGACAGACCAAAATCGATCTGTTCTCAGCAGAGCTCCTGAGAGAGGAGCTGTAAAAATATATTGAGATGGTTTTTGGTACTTATACCACAAATATATATTCTTAAGGACATCAAGACTTAAAATAAAACTCCAGAAAGGTGTAAAATACACAGTTTACACAGTTTATTTACACAAATTCATTATATAAATGTACAACCGACACAACAACTACATTTACTATTAAATTAACCGTGCAGTGCTGCTTTGAAAATGGACACCGGTACAATCTACTGCTACCTAGTAGATTTGAGGATTTTCTTTTTTTTTTTTCTTCTAAACAGGACAAAGTCTTAACACAGATGGTGGAGAGGATATCAGTGCCTGTTGGCTTTGTATCAAAACCTTCTGTGGTTCGTGGGGGTCGTGCTGCCATGTGTGTCCTTCGGCTTGCTTCTGCTAAAGAACTGCAGAAAAAAGGAGCAGAGACTTCGAACAAGAATTTAAAACCTGACTCAGAGACACCAGCATCTCTTCGTAACTCCTCTACAGAGGACTCAAAAGACTTGAAGCAACAATAAAATTCTATGCAAATTTCAATACAAAAGTGTATTTTTTCTGCAGTGGCATATTTACTTTGGAACGAGTTTTGCTTTAGAAAGTTACTTGGGTTCACCGGAATATGACTCATGATCACTGGGCTCTACACTAACAGCGGTTCTAAAAGGTGAACCACTGGATTTGCAGGGTCATTGAGTTCAGAATAAATGGATTTTGTTTGGCTGACAATGCTCTCTGATTTAATGGGCTCAGATTCAGAACTATGGGAGGTTTCTGGGAAGTCTGGTTTTGAAATTGTACAACTTTCAGAGCTGAAACAATGCAACTGACTAATTAATTGAGGATTCATAGTAGTTTCTGATTGGTTATTTTGTGGCACTGAAGATACACCTGAATTTGAAGTTTTTGTTTGACGTTTGTTTTTTGGTTTGTGGCCACTCAGACGGGATGCCAGGGAGCGTTTTGGGCGGGGTTTCAGCTGAAAGAGACAAGGTCAGTTATTTTCAAATTGAAAACATTTTAAACACCTATTGTTTGATATTTCATCAACCTCTGATTCAGCCGATCAGTAGTACTGCAAGTAGTTACCTGTTTCTTTTCAGGATCATGAATCACACCATGGCGCAGTAAACTTTGCTGCAGCAAAAAAAAAAAAAAGTTTATTTTGTATCCCAGGTGTCCCCAAATCTTTCTAAGAGTAGTAAGACAACTCAAATTGGCCAGCTTGCTGATCTAACAATATTAAATTCAGAAATATTAAGAAATCAGAAAGCGATGTGCAACTGGAGCAGGTATCAGATTGGTACAGTAAGAAACATGCAGTCAAGCCAGTCACATTTTAACATGACTGAGAAAGGCTGCCCTGAAATGACTTATGATACATATTAAGTCATTTCATAATAAAAATTGACAGTGAAAAATGTTTAGAATGTAGATTTCATTAAGCCATTTCACTGTGTATGAAGTTTGAAAAAAATGTAATGCTCCCTTGAACACCAACAAAAAACAGTGCTTAATGGGAGCAACACTAGACTGTAATTCTGTTGTGACACCACATGAAGTCTTTTTTCTCGACAAAACATGTTTCCGAACTAGTTTTTCCGCAACATTTGAATTATAGAATTTTTGCACCATAATTGAAATGACAAAAGAACGCTTTTCATAAATTTGAAAGTTGTATCTGAATTTTATCAATAATTTTCATTTCCATTTGCTAACAATTTATGCATTAAGCATTTTAATTAATTGATTTATTTATTTTGCAAAAAAATCCTTGGATGGAAATGCAGCAAGGGAGGCAGAACTCAGATGATGGGAAAGCACTGCTACCTTCATTGCAAAGGACTTGCCACAGCCAGGGTGAGTGCAGATGAAGGAGCGCTGCTCTTCATGGAAAGACAGTATGTGGCTCTGCAGGTTGAACGCAGTGGTGTACGAGCGGGTACATCCATCTCTGGGGCAGTGGAACACCATGCGCTCTTCAGAGTGAACATGCTGATGCTGCTTCAGGAACCAGCTATCCCTGAATGTTTTCTTACACTGATCACACTGTACCCTGACTGAACACAAAACAATTACAAAAGTAATATTTTGTATCTTTCTGTAAAGTTAGGCTATTTACATTCAGAACAAAACATAGGATTACCAATATGAACTTTTTTGTGGTTTGTCATCTCTGTCCAGTTCTTTCCCACAAATGAGCAGCCCTCCACAGTGCAAGAATAGCCTGCAAAGTTATGACAGTATGTTAGGCTTTTCACATGAAAAGTAGGGTGATAAGCATCTAATGACTTAATGAGCCAGAATAAAAAAAAAGAACATAACCTTGTGTTTCAGCATCAGTCTCACAAAGCTATTGTATGGGAGCAGGAGACTATATTTTTCAAAACTGTGCAAAACTTTAAATTTATTAGCTGCTATAGGTAAACGACAAGAAAAATAAAGTGCTTGCTGTAAATGGTACAACTATTTGTGCCACAACCTAGCACACGAGCAGAAGATAAAAATAAAAAAAATAATTTTCATTATATAGAAAAAGAGTAGCCAGAGTTTTCTTTTAAAATTGATCTTGAGTTTTAAAGGGAAAAAAAAGGCATGCAGGTTTGGAATGAACAACTGATCCATTCCTTTATGAACAACCGAACAAGCAGACGACATACCTTTGTGTACCTTCTCATGACGCTTCAGTTTACCATGTTGTGAAAACCGTCTCCCACAACCTTCATGTGAACACCTGATGATCAGAGCCATTGCAGTATTAACAGAACATCAAATGACACCACTGTTCTAAGTGTTATATTATGCTAGTTTACTGAAAGAGTTAATTAATGACAAAATAAAGAGAGACAGGACGAAAGAGTGTAAAAGTCTTACAAGAACGGTAGCAGCTGGGTGTGTGCACACTCGTGGCTTTTCAGTTGGTTATTTTTCTTGAATGCTTTGCTACATCCTTCAAATGTGCACTAGAAAAAACATTATTAGAAATATGAAGACAACAACAACAAAAATCACATATATTATGTACCTACAGCCCTTAAAGGGGTCCTATTATGCTCTTTTATAAAGTCTTGATTTTATTTTTGGAGGAGGGGGGGGTAGTAGAACAGGCTCTCATACTAGGTTGTTCGAAAAACACATTATTTTCCACATATTTTACATGATTACTGTCATCCTCGTTTCTGTCCAGTCTGCTTGTTTTATCGCGTTTAACCACAGCTGTTGTCGGTTTTTTGTCTGGCAGTGGCAGCAGATATGCGATCAGATTTCTAATTTGAGGCTGTATTACGTCGATTCTGGCACCCAACATCACAACAAGATGATATTTTAAGCTCATGTAGCCGAATCTGCGCTGGTTTGAATGGGCCGCCTCCAGTTTCCTCTTTGTTTTGCTGCCTCCAGCTAGCGCTGTGACGTCGGCTGACCCTAGTTACCTGTGGCTGGCCTGGTCGTGCGTCATTCAGAAAACAACAGGCCAATCAGAAGAGAGGCTGATGAATATTAATTAGACAGACCAAAATCGACCTGTTCTCAGCAGAGCTCCTGAGAGAGGAGCTGTAAAAATATATTGAGATGGTTTTTGGTACTTATACCACAAATATATATTCTTAAGGACATCAAGACTTAAAATAAAACTCCAGAAAGGTGTACAATATGGGACCTTTAAACCCGGATGATTGTAACCACTCTAAGTTTGTCTGCCTTGGGAAAGCTAGCGTGTCTCCGACATAGTGATAACACTCGTTGCCTTCTCTAGTGCAGCTCAACCAGATCTCGTCCCATTCGTCGATATTTGTGATATCACAAATCCTGGAAAATATGCATTGTAGTCCAAACGAGTCGTTCGTTGTAGTTTTTGAAAAGTGATTTCTGTTAAATAAATTATCTCCTTTTGAATTGGACTTTGAGCTTTGTAACTTTGCAGATCTTTTTTATGCTCAAACAGCAACATTACAGACTAACTAATGTTGAAAAAGCATAATAGGACCCCTTTAATATTACATTACATCATGGTACTGAATGATATTTACATGCCAGGGCTCAATAATAAGGATGGGCCACAGAACTGTCACTTGCTTGTTTCCGCTATTAGATTTAGTGATCATGTGTTTTTAGGCCTTGTGAATATATTGTTTCAGTCAGCATGGTTTTGCGTTGTATGCCACTATTTTCCAGCAAAAGTGTTTATAGCTGAAAATAACCCTCACTTAAATTTGAGGTGTATAATCCAAATTTTATAAAAGTCCTCAAAAATACCATGTTACTTTTTTGTGCGTTTATATTTACTTACAATGTACTGTTTTGTCTCTTGTCTATGAATACGTGAAATGTGTTTCTTCAAGTTGGAGTTTGTGGTGAATCCTTCATTGCATCCGTCCTCCGTGCATCTGTTAACATAGCGGAAGCAAATGACAGTTTACTATGCTATTAAACTAAAACGTATACAAAACAACAAACAAACAAAAACTCACTTGTAAGGTCTGTCGCCGGAATGTGTCAGCGTATGACGAGCAAGATGATATTTCGTGCAGAACGATTTGCTGCACAAGTTATACTCGCACTTAAATGGCCTCTGCAATCAAACAATAAATAAGCTTCTACTTCGTTTGAACTATGACAAATGTCATTTCGTTTACATTACTATATTCTAATTTAAAATGGCTTTCAGAACGTGCCATACATGCACAAATACAACTGAAACGTTTAATTTAAACGAAACATATTCACACAATCTTTGCTCACATGTTGGCCCCGCGCTTAACGTACCTCCCCTGTATGTTTGCAGAGATGCGCTTCTAGCTTCCATGCTTTGTTGTACGACGCCTGACAGTCAGGAAACGAACAAATAAATATTGCACCGGGTTTAACGTTAGTTTCATGCATTGTCATACGTTCAGCTACAAGGCATGGAGCTACCTCGTGTGCACCTTCATTTTGATAGCCTACGAAATATCTGACGTCACTCACAACGTACGTCAACACTAGAATGACCTCCTGTATGGAACGCCGAAAACGTCAAAAGCTTAAAAATGCATGAAAAACGAATGATTTTCATGATAGTTGTCTAGTTTTATAGTGTTATATAATTAACATTAAATTTATATAAATACATATTAAAAATATTTTATGTATATTTCATAGTTTTAATTTTAATAATGCATAACCCAGCTAATCATAATACTTTGTCCATCATGTTTGTCCATCAAAGTTTCCTATTGGCATTCTTTTCCAGCGGTAGATCAAGTACAATAGAGAGTTAGAAGTACAAAAATAAATAAATAATATTTTTTTTAACATAAATAAATAAAGAATGCTGCATCGGGTGTTCTTATGATTGTGAGAGGTGTTGCACACAAACAAATATAGCAGATGAATGTGTGCTTGCAGATATGGAGTTTAATTGGACTAAATGCAAGAGAAGTACTGCATACATAAGCAGAGAGAAGTCTGACATTTTCACTGAAGATGGTATTTTTGTTAAACATTACAAGGTAGATAGGTAGGTAAATAAATAAATAGGTAGGTAGGTAATATAATGTGACTACTTTTTGATAACTTTTGAAGTAACTTGTTTATCACATTGATTTAACTAGGATAATCTTGAACTGTATTGATATAAAAATACAAAGAGAAAGAAAATATATTACATTTGTTGTTATTAATGACATAAAGTGCATTAAACATTACATTAAGGTTTCCAAAAATGGGGTTAATGAAGGAACTGCTAACAATTAATTAAATCATAAAAATGTCAAATTAAACTACATTTTAAAATAGCAACAATCAAAATGAGACACTTACTTAAAAATAAATATTTTATTTGTCAAATTAATTATAGGTATAGGACACTGGAAAATTGGCAATTAAATGTTTTAGTAATGAAAATTATCTACATTAAAAAATTCTGAGCTCAAACTTGATTTTTATCCATATTTTGAAGTTACTGTACCCTGCCTTTGCGTCGTCTAGAAAAAGTGAGAAGTCACACCAAGGCAAAAGGCAGTAACTTCCACATTTGGCTGCTGATCACCATTTACAAAATCATTAGTAACACCTGTATAAAATCTAGTGATCATGGACTGTCTCATAGGCTATTACATATAATAATGTGACTGTATTAATTGTTTTTTGACCGTAACAAGCAGACAAAAAGTTAAACATGTAAGTGGATACCGTTTTGCAACCAATTTATTTGCAATGCTCAGTACCATAGAAGGATGCTAGACATAGCGTAATTGTTTTGTATTGACTTGAATGAAAATAGCCTAACCTAAAAGAACAACTTGTGGATTGATGTGAACGCCAGCAAGCAGGAATAATGCTAAGAATGCTTGTGGATTAAACATCACCAATGATGTTCATCGTCATGGATTGATTTTATCGGGTTACAAGAAAAGATAGGATATGTATTTAATTGCGAACTGTTAGTACTGATTTATGATTGATCATGCTACATGCTATGCTACACCTCCTCCACTGTGAAGGGGGATCCATTCACTCACCCACCCATACAAATATATGTATATGGCACATCAGTGATAAAACTCATGGATTCAGATGGTGATTTATTCACAGCTGAGAAGCGAGTTCTGTAATCCGAGGAACCTGGGACACACTGCTCACGTGGTCAGTCACATGATTGTCTGCTGTAAATAAAATGTAATATGCTTAATTGGAATAATGAGAATAATAATATGCTATTTATTATTTGGTCATTAAATCTCTTAAAATTCGAAAGATAGATGTGCTGTAGTTGAAATGGTTTTCTTTTCCATTTTATATCTCAAAATGATGGATGTCTTTAAAAGGTGGAGACAGCAATAACTAATGCAAACTCTTATTTACATAAGGTAAACATAAAGCTTTTTGGTTTATATTTTTATGAATATAATTGTATATTGAGAATGTATTGCATACCTGTTGCTGCCATAATAATGGCACATTTCGAATGTTCACATGATTTTCTTCTTTTTGTTCTTAACAGCTCCCACTTGCTATGAAATATTGTTCTTGTAAATACTTTCCAGCATTTCAATATTTTTCAGTAATAAAAAAAGTAATGAAAAATCAGTAATAAAAAGCAAATTACAGCGAAGTGCAACAGTTACCATACAGTGTCCGGGGGTGGTCAAAAAGGAACTTTTGAATCAATTTCTTCTTGTAAACACAAAGATGTGAATTCAGACGGCAATTAAATATTCACACAACCTTGGTGCTTGTCAAAAAATGTAAACAGTAAAAACAGGTAATTTGGCAGGTGTTGAGAGAAAAACACCAGCATTCTGGATTGGAATGGGAAAAAAAAAATCACAGACTAAGCCCTGTAAATGTTGAAAAGCTTACGTCCTCATGAGAAACAGGGTCACCATCCGATTCGGGCTGATAACTGAAACAAACTAAAAACAGCATAACTATGACACAGCAAAAGAATGGGATTAATCATAACAGATAAATAACCAAAGACAAACTAAAGTAGATAACTAAAGTAAAAACTTAAAAAAGGTAAGAACTTAGTTAAGAAAAAAGTAAAGAACTAAAAGTAAGAAAACAAGGATGAAGGCACTGATAGCAATCTAAAAAAATTAAAGTTGTCTAAATAATAAAATATAAATATATATCTTCCGTAAAAGGCTCAGGACCATAAAATATTCATCCAATCATTGCATTCAGTCCAACTGCTATAATAGCATGTCCTGCCTGCCTGTCAACCTATGTATTTGGCGCAGCCAATAGCGTGAGTTTGGGGTGTGGCTATAGCAGACTGAGTCAGAGGGTGTTTAGCCGGTGTAGAAAAAAATTCAGATTCTGTTACGGAACTGCAAGCCAAAATCCGAAGACTTGCCAAAATACACGGAGACAGTCAATGGGAATTGAGTTCAACCAGAATCAGAATCAGAAGAGCTTTATTACCAAGTATGTTTACACACACAAGGAATTTGATTTGACGACAGGAGCTTCCAGTGTAGAAGAAAGTACAAACATAGCACAGACATACATGATAGTGCAGACATACATAGGAACACAGTAGGGATGTAATATAAAACTAATATAAAAAAAAATAAAACATTAAATAATGTACTGTATACAGAAACAGAAGTATAGGAAAAATGTTTATTGTTTAGATAAATGTACAGATATGTTATTAGTGTGCAGATATGTTATTTACAAAGTGTGCAGTTTAATATAAGTATAACTGTGTTAGTTGTGATGGACGATGTATAATTATGAAAGATTAATTGTTCAGGCTGAATATAGCCTGCGGGGAAAAACTGTTCTTGTGCCTGGCTGTTCTGGTGGTCAGCGCTCTGTAAAGCCGACCAGAAGGCAACAGTTTAAAGAGAGAGTGGGTTGGGTGTGAGGGGTCCAAGGTGATTTTTTTGGCCCTTTTCCTCACTCTGGAGATGTAAAGATCTTGGAGGCTGGGCAGAGGGGCACCGATAATCCTCTCAGCAGTCCTGACTGTCCGTTGTAGTCTCTTGATGTCTGATTTTGTAGCTGAACCAAGCCAGACAGTTATGGATGAACACAGGACAAACTCAATGATGGCAAAGTGGAACTGTTTTAGCAGCTCCTGTGGCGGGTTGAATTTCCTCAGCTGGCGAAGGAAGGGTCCTTTGAAGTGCAGTCATTCGTGTAGAGAGAGAAGAGCAGTGGGGAGAGCACACATCCCTGGGGGGCGCCAGTGCTGATGGTGATAGTCCTGGATGTGAGTTTGCCCAGCCTCACTAGCTGCTGCCGGTCTGTCAGGAAGCTGGTGATCAACTGGCAGATGGAGGTGGGCACGGAGAGCTGTGTGAGTTTGTCTGAGAGAAGGTCAGGCATGATGGTATTAAAGGCCGAACTGAAGTCCACAAATAGGATCCTTGCGTAATTCCCAGATCTGTCGAGGTGTTGCAGGATGTAATGCAGTCACATGTTGACTGCATCATCCACAGACCTGTTTGCTCTGTAGGCAAACTGAAGAGGATCCAGCAAGGGTCCAGTGATGTCCTTCAGGTCTCTAAAGCGACTTCATGACCACAGACGTGAGAGCGACAGTTCTGTAGTCGTTAAGTCCAGTGATTCTGGGCTTTTTGGGGACCGGAATGATGGTGGAGCATTTGAAGCAGGTAACCAGCATAAACATCTGCAGTCTTTTACAAGATGGACGAATTTGAGGGAATGTTTGAGTTTCAATCGATACAACAAACTTTTCGATTTTCTTCTTCACAGGTAAGCTAAACTTTAAGTTAAATCCTGCCTAAAGAACGTCTTTTTGAAAGTACCCTACTTGTGAGACATGTATAAGAGCTTTGTTTGTGATGTTTGAATCCTGATGCAAAGGTTGCTTGAAAATATATTTTTTGTTCCGCTAGATGACACTAGATGACTGGTGTTTGCAGACTTTATCACAGATGAAGTAGATTAGAACCAATGTTTATGAAATGCACAGCAGTTTCAGATTTTTTCATTCATTAATTATGTACTGCAACCGCCTAAGAATATTGTAACGGGGCTGACGAGACGTGAGACGTGTGGATCCATCTGCAAGCTTTTATTTAAGAGACGTGGTCATAACAGGCAGGGTCGAATAATGGCAAACAGGAATATGGCGGGCAAAACACAAGAATAGTCCTAGGGCTAGCGTAGGTCAACGATCGGCAGACAGAATCACAGGAGCAAGACTAGAGGGATAAATCCAGGAAAACAGGCAAAGATCAGAAACCGAGAAAACAGACAAGGCAAGGCAAAACAAGGAAACACGGGCAGGAAAACAGGAACTAGGAATAATAACCGGCTAAGCAATACTCGGCAGAGAATGGTTGTTTGAGTGAGTGTTATATAGTGAGTGAGTGATATGAAACAGCTGTGTGCAATCAGTGCTGTGTGCAATCAGTGCAATGAATGATGGGATATGTAGTCCGGGGTGCTATGCAACAGTGTGTAGTGCGAGAGTCAATGAAAATGGAAAGGGTGACCTCTGATGGCTAGCAGACGGAAG